TATTATAACAGCTGCCCCAGAGAGACCCTACAGGGCTGGGGTTCCTAGAACCTCCCAGGTAGTGCAGGAACCTCCATGGAGTGGGTGGGACTCTTGGGACCCTCCCAGGGGCAGTGGAGTCCCCAGCGGCACATCCAGAGGCAGTACCTGGGAGGGTCTCAGGAGGCCCCGCCTAACCTGCGAGGGTCCCTAGGGATGCTGTCACACCTGGGAAGGTATCAGGGGCACCCAGCGCCGTTGGTAGGGTCCTGAGTACCCTCATCTCTTCTGGGAGGGTTGCAGGGACCCTGCCGCCCCTAGGAGGGTTGCAGGGCCCCTGCCGCCCATAGGAGGGTTGCTGGAGCCCCCGCCATCCGTGGGAGGGTTGCAGGGGGCACTGTCATCCCTGGGAGCGTCCAATGGGTCCCATCCGCACCTGGGAGGGTCTCCAACGCACCTCGGAGGGTCCTAGGGGGCGCCACAGAGATCCTACAGGGCTGGCGCTCCCAGAGACCCTCCCAGGTGCAGCAGGGAACCTCCTAGGGGTGGCCGGGGCTCCTGAGATCCCTCCAGGGGCAGTGGAGACCCCAGGGACCCACCTAGAGGAAGCGGGGGCTCCTGTGACCCACCCATGTAAGGCTATATAGCTCCGGTGTTCTTTTAAGGCCAGTATAGTAAGGTTGATTAAGAAAACAAATACTGTATATCAATCAACAGTGTTTATTCCTATACAAAACAAGACATATCACAGGTATAAATTAGGGTTCTCAATTGGGACATGAGCCAAAGCAAATTTTTCTCTCAATCCCATCAAAGAACTTGACTAAGAAAAAAGCAGTATACCTTATATACATATATATATATATATATATATATATATATATATATATATATATATATATATATATATATATATATATATATATATATATATATACAGCCTTCAGTTGAATAAATTACATGATTCTCAATATGAGTTCATGCATGATTTCGAATTCTTAATTATACATTTTCATAAATAAAAACATTAACTACAATTTGAAATATTCAGACAGTACTCAACTTAAATCTTTGCATACAATTTGTAGTATCGGCTAAGTCAGAGGGGTTCAGGTGGTCTGCTTAAATTTGGGAAATTTTTTGTCATTGTTCTATGGAAATGAAATAGATTACCTTTGTTAATCTTTATTACATTTATCACTGACTATACTGAGAGTAGTTATGGAATATAAAAATAAGTGTAAAAATACTGATAAACCCAATCTAAGACTTGATTACACACAGATGCTTGCTTATATCAATTCTTTAAGCAGAATAATTTGGTCAGACAAATAGCTATGCTTCACACATTAAAAACAATAAAACCTTACCTATTATTTTCTTTTAAAATATTTATGTACAGTTCTTCAACCCAGAACATTAATCCCAAATTAGCAGCCTACCTTTATCCACCATCTTAGCTCATTATCTTTGGCTTGTGACACGAGCTGCTGAAAGACTTGGGTTCCTGCATTACATGTCACAGTGAGATCAGAGGCAATGTGGCAGTGTTATATTGCTCGGCAGTAGTCATTTCACTTTTCTAATACTATGAGAATCTACAAAAGATCTCTCAAATAAACATATTTATGTGCAATACACAAATTTCAAGTCATTATCCCAATGATTAATTAGCTAGAGAACCTTCTTGAGGTAGGTACTAAATCATTGGTTTCAAGACTGTCATTACAGGTATTCTCAGGTTATTACTAAGGCATCCATCTTTGAGAAAACTGTAAATTTGCCTGCAATGATTTCTGTATATCAAAAGGCACAGTGGTAATGGAAAGTTAAATAATAAATTGAGCTACAATATTTTATAAAGCAGAAGACTTTAATCTATGCAAAATTTACTGGGGAAACCTATGCAATCAATTTTTATATTCACATGAGTACTCAACTTTTTACAATCTAAACCCCCCTCCCCCTGGAAAAAAAGCAAACAAAGTTTGAAAGTATCAGGAGTCCATCCCAGCAAAGTAATGAATAAAGTATTTCATACTTTAAGGAATTATTTGATAGAATTTGTAATTCACTAAAATCTTCTCATTAAGTGGGAGGAGTTGGACCAATGTTCACACTGGAGTCTTGAATGTTCCACATTTATATTTCCATCTAACATGTACACTCCCAGGTGAGCAGGTGTGGGAGACTGCCACTCTGGGGAGCCATAGTTCACAAAGAAAAAAAACAAGTCCTGGATAGTGCGAGCATATTGGACATCTTTGTCAGTCTGAGATTGAAATACTCCTAAAATTGACTCGATATCAGACAATCCATCTGCCACAGCTCCAGCTCGGCTAACCCGAGCATGGCGTGACACATAAGCATAAACAGGTACATCTTCAGTCCCAGTGGGATGATTATGAGAGAGTGTCCTAGATAGTTTTTCAGCAGTGGCCAAGGTAGGACATGTAACAGTAGCATCAGATACTAAAGTGGTAAGGAGAAGCCAAGGATCATCTTTCAAATTAGAATACCATTCCAAGGCAGCCTCTGCCTCTGCTGATCCTGGTATTATGCTGCCTAATTCTGAACTCTCATCATTTCTTGGAGGCTGAGGCCAGACGTTTTGACCACCCTTATCTCCTGGCCAGTTAACATGACCATATGCAGGACTACCAGACCACACTGGCTGTCCATAATTAACTTCATTCAGTCGCAAACCGTCAACAGCTGCATCAAGAAGTTGCTGATGTGAGATGCCAAGACGTTCCCGCCAAGATAACAGAAAATGTGCAGCTGCTTGTTCAGTTGACCCTAAAATGGAAGTGGTTAACTGTAAAATCATACTGACAACAAATGACTTTAAATTAAAAGTACCAGAAATGAAATTGGTAAAAGCTCTTGATTAAATTTAGATCACATCTGAGAAGTCTACAGTATTGCACAAGACTACAGTGCAACTCAAATAGCATGCAGGACATTAAATTGGAGAGTACAGTACCGTACTTACTATTGGTTGAAACTTATGCTTATTTTTTTTAAGTGATAGACTTAAGTACAGTGTTGGAACATTGATGATTTTTTCAATATAGGTGAGGATTAAAAATTTCTAACATTATATTAGAACTGTACTGTAGTTAGTACATACCATGTCAACTAAGTCATTTTGTGAATTTATATGAATTTGAGCCATTATTAACAATATATTACAAGTCCACTTTGACCCCTTGTACTGTGGCAAAATGTACCAATGTACTGTTTAAAATTTACCCACGCAATTATTCTCATAAAAGTCTTACACATTTAATATCATCCGTGCTTTGTGTCAGCCCACATATGGCAGCCAATCATTTCTATAGCACCCTAGAGAGTTACTGGAGTAATTTATGCCTCGCAACATGCTCAGTCAGGCCCTTGTACCAGTAGTGAAGGGGGTGTCATCTGGTCAGAGAGGGTCGGCACACCTAAGGTAATATTCTTCTGTATATTAAAACGATAGATGAAGAAACAGAACTAATTTCAGAATGATGTGATTCAAAAGACAGTACCAAAAGTAAATTTAGAGAAGATTACACTAGTGAAATAATGAAACTGGCCACAAAATTTAAGAGGCAAAAGTGTAAAACATCATACAGAGTAAGCAGTTCCACTGGTGATTCGGGTTAGTGCTGATGATGCAACCGACGCTATATCATGCAACTTTCAATGCGCTATATTACAATAAGTAAATATGCAATACATTATTTTATTCATGGCTTTGCTAAGTATGTACTTTTCCATCTTATTGTGAGAAGAAAAATCGAGACTGTTGCAACCAGAAATATGAGAGTTCAATTCACTAGTTGCATGTATAAGGTTTATTGAGCTTTATAAACCCATTTTCACGGAGGTTGTTGGTTTACCCGTACTTAAATGAATGTAACTTTGCATAAACTGAATCTTGAAGATGCATTGTATTTAATAAGTGAGATTGGGGAATATTTTGAATATACTCTTTACAGAAATATAGTTTATCAGGTCTGGTATGAGATAAGGAATAATGTACAGTACAAGAATTTACATGACAATATGTATTAGGTGCACCAAAAATACTCTAAGTTCTTTTGTTTAAAAAAAAAGTAACTTACCAATCATGAGAGGCACTTGTGGCATGGACGGGAGAAAGGGAACAATGACACCATCAGCCAATAGCCATGGGCGGCCTTGGGGATGACGCCACTCCAGGGGTGGAGCCTCCATCACAGTACGAGCTGGGATGGACTCGAGACACATCACAGTTGAACAATTAAGTGAATCAACCAGTTCTGGGTCTGCTTCACGCCATGGAATCTCTGGATACAAAGGTACAGAGCCAGTCACCCAGGCAGAATGTACAAGCCTATGTCCTTGAGGTGAGGAAATAAGCGGCCATGCCATTGCGGCTCCTGCTTGATGTCCCAAGAACGTCACTTGCTCTGGGTCACCACCAAAATGTTCTACGTTGTGCTGCACCCAGGTGAGTGCTGTTAACAAGTCCGACACCCCCTGGTTTCCTGCAGTGTGAGGGTAGGTTGATGCTGCCAATTTTGGATGAGGGAAGAAACCCAGAAGTCCCCGACGAACCTGTGGTGACAAAACCACTACACGTTTGGTTTTGGCGAGACCTGCAGCCTTAGTAAGTAGCCAGGGTCTTTGTGTGTCTCCACCCAAACTAGCTCCTCCAACAAAAACTATTACTGGGAGTGGTGAGTCATACCCAAGTTGGGGTGTGAAGACATCTATCAGTAAACAATCTTCAGATCCCTCTACCACAGCTCCCTGCAAATAAATGTTTAAACTAGAAGACAAAAATTTAATTTTGCAAGCAAGTAGGTTGTACTAACAATGAGTTTTATCATGAATTAATCCACAGATTGGTAGATGTAGTGGGAAATACGAAAATCTTAAAGAATAAATTAAAAGCATGCAAATTGCATACCAATTTGCAGAAACTTAAGTAAAAGAAACAAAAAGTACAGAATGTTAGTACAGTAGTGCCTTTTTAAACCTACTTTTTCAACAAGTTTGGTCTATTCCACAAACCCTTTGATAAATCTGATAAACCTACTCCATCAACTATCATTGCTTTAATGCACTTATATTCTATCTACAACTGCTAATTTGGACTTCATGTTAATTCGGCCATTTTTGGCAATGTTAAATTAATCAGCAATATTTCAACATGGAGATCCAAATGTTTGAATTATACCCGTTTCTTAATTTTCCAATGCATCCAACAAGTTGAAATTAGCCCCGTGTGCAGAACACCACCACAGGCATAGCCATTGAAGATTGCTTTGTCTGAATGTCCTAGTGCAGCTGGGGCTACTAAATTTTTGCACAGCCTCGTGTAACATTCACATTGTGTATTAAAATGTAATTTTCCCTTGGAGCTAATATTTTACCCTATTTAAGCTCCTCGATAACAACAATATAATCAGAATGGAGTTTGATTTTTTGTCCTGTGTAAATTATCCACTTAAGTTACTGGTGTATGAGGGGAGGGGGGAGGAGGTACAACCTTGACAAAATACCTTGAATTCACAGACCAAATTCGGACACTTTGGATAATTCAGACCCTTTGTGTAATTCAACAAGAATAGAGCACCATTACTGTTAACAAGAGAGATTCAAGTTTACTTAACAATTGTGCTCACAATGAAACAATGACTCGGTACTTGTACCACAACTATTCCTGAAATCAATGGTAACCATTTCTTGTTTACTTTTTTTGTTCAACACCTTTTAGTACCTTCCCTGCTATACTGCAGAGTGACCAGTACCAAGAGCAAACACATACTCTGTGTACTGTCATCCATTTACTCTTACTACTATATCCTCACTCAACACCATACTCTTATCATCATTCACAACAGTATGAAGGTCTTTGCAGTAATCAACCTTGGGCCTTACTGTTAGAGACCATAGCAACCATCTTACAATTTTTGTAGGGTGACTAAATTTGGCTCCCAAACAAATTTACTAAAAGAAAGCTAAGCATCAGAAGAAAAACTCCATGACATGCACCATACCTGACTATCATAGCTCCAGCATGGCTGAGTTACATTAGCCACATAGGTTCCAGTCCAGCAATCATTCAGGTTAGTCTGGAGTTGTGCTGGACGAAACCGCAACTTTCCAAGCGGAGGAATAGCATATGGTATCCCACGAAACACATACGATCCATCCTGTATAGTGCTGAAATAAAAATACTAGTTCTAAACTGACATACAGGTACAGGTATACTGTTTATATAAAATTTATAGTTCAATCTAGGTACTAGTTTTACTGCTCCATCTTTGTGTGGGATGCAATGAGAGAACAATATATAAAAATAAGGAGAAGCATCCACATTTTTATGCTATTTTTTTTCCTTTTTTTAGTTTTATTATGGTTTATTAGACTTGATATATGAACTAAAAAAAATACCAAATAAAACACTCATTAAAATTAAGCTTATATGGTTTTACTGTTGTACTTACCTTCTTGAGCATCAATTCAATTGCATATGAAATGGAATGTGATTAAAGCAGTTTGCCATCTTTGGAAGTCACACTTTCCTTTTTACCAATGATGTACAGTACTAACACTGGTCAATGAAGGTCACAAAAGTGACAAAGAACAGACTAGCTAAAATCTAACCTCACTTGTAAGTTTGTACAGCTTGTGGAAAGTATATAATTTTAGATTATTTTCCTCACTATTTAGGTGGAGTAAATCATTGATCGTGACAACTAACGATTCTTAAATTATGAAAATTCCAAAAAGAAAGACTTTCGGTAAGGTACCCTTGAACAGGACCACAAGTAGTGACAGTGGTGACGTGGGGATGCTGGATACGAGGATCAGGGCTGAAAAATGTTCCTTGGGAGGTAGATGCCAGTGTTACTATCACAACCACCAACACCACTAAGATGATGCTACAAGCTGTAAGTGGAAAAAAATAGGTTGAAATTAAAATCTTACTTGTGAGGATGTCAACTAAAAATAAAGTACCATATACTATGCAGACCTGTGCTTCCCCAGAACTGGCATGGGCTGCTAAACCACTATTAAGTGAGTTACATTTTTAACTGACAGTACACAAAAAGTGGAACTAACTGGATCAATCACCAATACAGTACATCAAAAGTTTTGTCTGTATGCAAATTGGCTCTCCCTTGCAAGTTTATTTCACACTAATATTACTTTATAATTTATTATTAGTATGATTCCTTAATATTAATACTACTCCCTAATCTACTTTTAAGAAGACTACAGCATTTATATGTAAATAAATTCGTATCACCTCTTTGTTAATGACTTAACCTAACAAAAATTATAACAGCAGCAGATGTGAATAACTTAGCAATCACTACTAGTCAGTTTAGCACCATTATCACAGCCCCAAATTTGTTGATGCTGTAGTCACTGCCAACCTGCTGTACCACACAGTCCCTCCATGTACAGTCTCACCCAAAAGTTTGTCAACTCTCCCAGCCAGCTATTGCTGCACTACCTGCTTCAGATGTATGAACTTGAGTCTGTTACTTCAAACCTTTAAATTCATTCGTATCGGTTTCATGCTCTGGTTGGTAGTGAGACAGTTTCAAACATCTGAAGCAGGCAGTGCAGCAATAGCTGGCTGGGAGAGTTGATGAACTTATGGGTGAGACTGAACAACCTACTGGAGTTAAGGTTTTACTGCTCCACTTCTTTATCTTTTACCCCATCATTACAAATTAAAGTACTGTGCTGTACTAAATTGTAATTTCCTAAATTCTATTAGAATGCATATACTGTAGAGAATCATAACACACTACAATAATACATGATACTGAAAGCAACAATGCACAATGATTTTAAATAATCACTTCACATGCCACATTTTTGTTTCAATGTGCCCTTTACTGACATATTAGAAAAATTTTGAATTATTTTTTAAAGTAAAAATCAACTAGAATTGTACAATATGTTGTTTTAAAATACAAATATAAAAGAGTTATACATCATTTAAGGCAATGAACAAATTTATTTACAAAATTACTATAATCTACACTATCTCTAATGCATTATGGCCACTGCATCGCATCTCTGGATACTGTACTGTATAGTGTAATCAGAAACTCAAATTAGAAACGTGAAAATGAAAATTAAAAGTTTTAAAAGTAATCCTTCAAAAAATATTGTACTAAGAAACATTATAATGAAATTGTAGCATGATTCAATATGACCAACCTATGATAACCTTAGTGGAGGCTAAGGAGGAGAGAAAGCGGCTGAAGATGCTATGGGCACGGCTCTTGGACGCAGGCTTTGGTAGGTCAAGTTTGGGATCCCTCACAACTGAGACACTGGGGTCAAAAAGATCTAGGTAGCGAGGCTCTCTAAAAGTCACATCCCGAATCTGCCGAATGGGAGAGCTCTTTATCAGCCGGCGGTGGATACTGTCACCATCGTCACTCAGAGCACACACCTGATAAAATATAATGAGGTCACATGGACAAATGAAAATTTAATAAATTAAGTCAGGAAATTCTTTTAGTTCAGTGATGCATTTTAACTATCCATATTTAATTTGTTCCCCTCTCTATCTACATCTAATAAACCACCTACTGTACTAATATCCAGCAGGAGGGTTTATGGATAGTCTCCTCTCGATACTGACACTACTCCACACATACACATTGTCATACCCAACTCCGCCCCTTCTACGGTATATACGTACTCCTTCCTTCCACTTCAATGTTGGTTTCTCTTCCTTCTTCCTATTTATCATCTTCAATCATGCAATCTCCTCTTACCACACTACATATACAGTACTGTACTTCAGTTCAACCTCTTTTTTTTTAGCATCTATTTTGTACCAGACACAAAACTAAAATGAAATGGAACAAATGCAGTATCCTCTCCTCTTCATGCAAAGCCGATACTGAACACCCTATTCACACAGTTTTTTTACCCGTTAATACAGCAAACCCTTCACATTTGCAAGGGTTATACCTCATTAAAGTACATACAGGTGCTGTACTGTACTTCGAATTCACAAATCACAATCTCGCAATTACAGAGGGTTTACTATATCAATCATTAATATATCTGTAACAAAAATTGTTATACATATATCTCTGACATCACATTATCCTACAATCTTTTTCATGCATACTATTCCCATGGTCACAGCAAGACACTAAAGCAGGGTTTTCAAAAAATTTTATCTGAGGGGTTACTTCTCAGGAATGTCTGGAGATCTTAAGATTTTGCACTTCAGCCAGTACCCATGATGAGCATAAGTTGATGATAGTATTGGGTACTGTCTATTCTGAAAGCCCTGATGCATACAAAAACTAAAAAGAATTTAAAGAGAGGAGAGCTTAACAGATAATGAAATCTAAAAAAATATACTACAGGTATAACTGAAATAAAACGAAAAACTAATATACTGTACTGGATTATACTCTAAATTTCTCTAACACAATCTACAGTATATAGTCTTAACAAGTATTATATCTAACATTTTCTATCAGATAACAACTTTCTCTTGCAATTTAATGGTATTCAGGTTAGTTCTCCCCTCCGTGAATTCCCTTATCATTTCTCGAACATCTAAATACTATTAGAGACAAGCAGACAATAAAAGCTTTTTCTGATCAATAGAAAAATCAATAAACAAAAGCCACAATATGTGATTTTTTAACACAAATCTTTACTAGTAACAAGTGCATCAGACTCATGACCACAGTGTTTTAATATGCAATTTCTATGTGTGGACAGAGACTTAAAAGGTAAAAAAATATGCTAGAGATCCATAGAATATAAAAATGATATACGGATATACCTGTACAGTACGTGAAAATTCTAATACTGTATGTCTGAAAGTAATGAATTTCAGACCATTTATTATAAACACGTTCAACATACAGAACGTTCAAATATTACAACCTATAACTTTCTTGATAATGTACTATACAAATCCTTCATGCAGCATCTTCCCATATTCCAAGTATTTTTCCATAAACATTCTAGTATAAAAAAAAATCTGAGAATAATGCTTCAAATATTGACTAAAAAATAAATACAAATCTTTTCATTATATTAACAATTCATTGCAACAAAAATTTGATCAACTGTATGAGAAAGACAATGTAGTTATCCTTACCAACCACACACAGCGGGAGAGGCACTCAATAGTGAAGACAATATAAAATCTCTGATGATGAAATTTCAAATGATCAACATTGCATAAATATGTAGTAAGATCTATAGAGCATATGAAGTAATGCATAAATAATCAAGTGAATTCTGTACGTATTTCCTAATTGATGAATATTATGTTATCAGCCTTAAACATACTTATTATATAGAGAGAAATTCATGTGGATAAGCTATCAAATATATATAATACAAGCTCTCAGTTCCCTAATCTCAGTACGTTTCAACATTCCCAAACCTTGTCTCCCTCTCCTTCTCTCCTTCAACTTGCCTCTCTTAATCCTTCAACTCCTTGTCTCATATTTCTTTACATCTCATTCGATCTTTGTTCCCATCTCTTTCGTCTCTTTAATGTTTCATCAATTATGTACAGTATCCTCCTTCTCCTCTTATCTAACTCCTCCTTGCTTTGTTTTGTTTTGCTTCCCTTCACCTCCCCTAATTATCATCTCTCCTTCCTTCCTCCCACCTCCAACCTCATATATCTCCTCCTTCATGCCTCTCATTCTTCACCCTCTCTTCTCTTATCATATCATCCGTCTCTTTCATTTACCTTGTCACCTAATATCTTTCTGAATGTCCCTGTCTTACAGTCACTCCTTCACCCTCGCTTCATCTTCCCCTTCCCCATTCATGGCATATCTCTTCTTTCTCTCCTCTCTTCCCTTTACCACATTTTCTTTCTCTTCTTCCCTTTTACATAATTTTTCCCACTCCCCTTATTCTTTCAATTGCCATTTTTTTTATCATATCAGTCCCTTCATCATCATAATTTTCCTTCATTCACTTTATTCTCTTGCCAATCCTGCTACAGTACCATATTCCTTTGCATTAACTACTGTACTCTCTCTCACACTAGTCCCACTACCTGTACTCATATTTCTCCCCTCTCACTCACTCCCCCCTGTCTCTTACTTTCACCCCTTTGCCTTACCTCTGGCTCCTCATAAGGTGACGGAGTTGCTTCGAAGTCCTTGATAGGATCGGTGCTGGTCGACTCTCTCATGGGGTCCTTATGGGGATCCTTCAGTGTTGGAGGTGGGTCCTTGAAGGCCTCCTCCGTGACTGCCACACCCCCTTCACTCTCTCCAGGTGCTGTGCTCGCCACACGTCCTCCACCACGCTAAGGGGAAATTTAAATTTGTCATGAAATCTATAAACATAAAATTAAAATAAATAAATAAACATATATCACGTATGTTGAAGATCTAATTATCATCAATTCATTTTCAAAAAAAAATCCTTTACTCCTTAAACACCAAATACAGTACAGTACAGTACAGTACAGTACAGTACAGTACAGTATATGGAATTTAAATTACTGAACTTTACAAATATTATTATGAAGTGAGTAAAGATATTTTAAAGCTGTAAATTTTTGTCCTTATAAAACATCAGTGTTCCTTTACGTCTGCAGGGGAAATTTTACATGCATGAAATTCAGTTATAAATGACAAAATAGCAGTTTACAGGGAGACTTTTCTTGTTAGATCAGTGACTCTATGACAACTGTAATTATGAGCAACGTTCTCATGGAGGAAATTCTGTAAAGGCAGAAGTTGTTGTCTCGTCCTCAAAAGTTAGTTATAGTTAGCTCACTATACTGTACTATAGGTAGACACACCGATAAATATGGGTCACTACCACCTTTTAATTATTATACTTTTAAGTTTTAGCACTACAGGTACAGTACAGGTATAAGAGTCATGTATAACCGAAGCTATTCTACTTGCAAATTCCTTCATAATATTTTTCATGTAAGAGTATTACTGTAAACATATACAATACCTGTGTATCTATACTAAATGTTATAACCACTAACAAGAGTGAGTAAGATCTCTTACCTGAGCGATCTCAAACTTCCTCCTGAAGAAGGCAGGGATCCTCCAGGGTGACCTGGGGCGTTGTGGTGGTGACGGTTGGTGGCGCTGGTCGCCGCCGCCCCGCTGGGCTGCCCCGGACCCGCTGCTCCAGCTCCGTGACACATACCGTCCCACCACCGGCACCCCGGACATCCTGCAAGATGAAGCATGTGTTTAGTGTTGCAAACTTGTCATGATACATGTTATTTCAGTCTTCGTGTGTGGGTGCCTATCTGAAGACTTATCCTGAAAGTTGTAACTAGTTATATTTGAACAAAAAAGGTCTCTGAAATACAGTGATATCTCCATTAGCCAGAACAATTAGTGCAGAGCACTTCTAGGAATGAGAGATTTCCTGGTAACGAGATGACTCTCTCAAAGCCGGGAAAAATCCCTCATTACCAGAATTTTCCAGGTAATGGAAAAATATTCTCGGAAGTTCCAAAAATTCTGCATTACATTAGCTCTTGAACCCGGAAGAATATCCTCCATCCTCGGGATTTTCCGGAATTTTCCGGGAACCGCAAAATTTTTCTTGGAATTTTCTTGAAAATGTACCCCTTGGAAAATCGTTCTGAAAGTACTGTACAGTGTATTAATTTATTTATTATTCAGTGCTTTACTATATGATCAGCTGTCACTTTAATTTGATCTTAGTAAGGCCGGGCTTGAAACTACTAAGTAATTCTTCCTTTCAAAATTGTTATTCTTGGTATTTTAAAATTAAAGTAAAATATAATTTAGTGTTTTGTATTTATCTGCCTTATATACAGAACTGTACTGTACTGTACTGTACTGTACTGTACTGTACTGTACTTTTAGGACATAACTTGGAATGGGGCTTAATATATATTGGTCATTTTTCGTGGTTTCTAATTTGTTTTAAAATTTTATGTTTTTGTGTAGACACCCACCAATCACTATCAATTGAATGACCGCATGCAGGAACACAAACAGGTGTACACAGACAACAGTACAGGTGTATGTAGACAACCACAGATACGTACAGTACAGACACATGGATAGAAGAACATGTCACCACATGAATGTACAGCAAGACGCCCACACATCACCATAAGCGATGGGAACAAGAGTTCATCAAGATACAGTATACTGGCGACTATACCGGGGTAGCTTACTAGTCCGTCCTACCCCGGTCCTGATGGCTCCCTCCCCGTCTGATAACTCCGTCCAAACTACCTCGGGAGCCACAAAAGTCCAATAACACCACCATACAAGACGGAGAGAGGGACGTTCTGAACGGCCGGTGTTTTCTACGACACTACGACATTTCGAGAAGTCACCCTAACATGATTCCCTATACGACCACACAGGTGTCTAGCACGACTTGGGGTGGTCTAAGGGAGGGGAGGGACGGCTATATTGCAGATGTGACGCTTGTACCGTGTCTGACCAACTGGCGAAGAATAGAAGAGGGGAGTAAGAATGGAGGAAGAAGAGGAGCGATATTAATGAGGATCTGTGCAACGTAATTTCATCCTCGTAAGACCCGGGAGATGGTAGAGACTGATCCAAGGCATTGAAAAGAGCCAGCTGGTTACAATCTACACACGTGGTGACAGAGGCGACCCCCTAATAAGTGACATTATGAAAGTACAGTACAGTATTGTGAAGTAAGTGTCTTGTGGCTTTACATTCACTCATATAACCAAGCAAATTTCCGTAACAGCTGTCTTAGTCACTTTTTATAAACTCAAATCCTTTCCACTCTTTCCTGGTTATTAAAACTTCGGATTATGGCCTTCGGCATCTCCATTCTCACTTTCTATCTCCCTATTCCTTCTATCTAACTCTTTTTCAACTTCCTTCGTACCCACTTCTCTATCCCCTTCTCGTCCCACCTCTATCCATCCCCTGTACAGAGTGGGGGCGTGATGGTCGGCACTGGGTCGATACCCCAACAATGCCGCTACCATTGAAATCGAATTAAGCTCAAGAGAAGTGATGCTCCTCCGTATTGGACGAGGCAACTCTCGGGTGACACGTACTGTATACACACAACACACCACACAACAAGCATCAATTGGCTGATATATAAACAAGGAGAACGGCAACACACGGACACCCTGAAAGAGTGATAAGGTGGAGCCTTTAATAGACAAGCTCTGGATGAATTAACATTGTGTCTTTAAAACCAATTATTGTAGCTATGTTTTACTCGATATTTTTAGCATACGTGACAATAAACGGACACTTTCATAATATAAGTTTTCTTCCTAAACACAGACATCTGGATCAAGATTCAAGTCAGGGTAAAGGTACAAATCTCTACAATCAAAGGAAATAACCTGCTCAAGTATATAAGACAGGTGGGCTTCATACACTGTGGGCATAGGAGCCAAGCCAACCGGATTTTGCTCTGCGTTAACCCACAGTGTATGTCCCCATTTACCTTTTCTTAGTAGTATGTGCTATTCGCTCAGGTTAAGGTGTCCACCTGCTTCATAACTCATAACACAATACAATAACAGAACGACTAACATATCGCACTAGGCAGACTGACACATTAAGTCTGACCCCAACAACTATATCTTTCTTCCCCCCCCCGAGGGTCTACATCTCACTGGGCATCCTTCCCTGCACCCAGTCCGCGCGCCTCACGAGATCCATCTTGAGGACAATTTTCTCGTCAGGGGAGTGAGTCGTCAACCAATAAAGGCTGGAACAGTGTAGGTCCTGGGGTCTTAGTGTGTCTTCCACCCCTCACACTTTACAACACATGTTTCTTACTCTTTCCCACCACCCTGTCTTCATTGCTTCCCTCGTCCGTTCCTTTTGCTTCACACTCTATTCAATCTCCGTTCCTTTCGGTTTACGTTCTTGATACTTTTTCACCGTATCTCGTGAAATGCCACCAGAGTCGCTAAAGACACAAAAGCAACAACTTATCTATCTCCCGGGCAAGTCGCGTGACACTCATACTGCCACAGTTATAAATATATTCAACAGTTTTGCTAGAGTCTCCTGAAGGTGGTGGGTGAACCATAGCACCAAGATCTTACACGGGACCTGTGGGAGGGGAAGGGTGAGGGAGGCAGACAGAGAGAGAGAGTAGACATAAAGATAAACAGAAAAGGGTATAGACAGCAGAGGAAGGTGAAGAGGAGAGGAGGGGGAAGGTCAGAGAGAGGTTCCAGCCCAGAAAATTACCCAAGTAGAGCCCAGGTCAGGTCATACTGGTACGTGGATCAATTTATAAGAGCACAACTTCCCCCTGTAATGTTTGGTGCCAAGTATAAAGCGAACACCTATGCCACTTCCTGAGTTTGGATACCGGGTGTAATACAGAGCTAAGTGCAGTGAATGGCTCCCTCGAGGTTCGCCCCTCCACCACGCCACACATCCAAACACATTTATACCAATTCCTCGGCAACGTTTCCCCCCCAGTGGTCCTGAGTGGCCTGTGTGTACAATCTTCTCCAATCACTCCACCAATCAACATCCTTAGTTACTATGAGTCACTCCAGGCCACCAATCAACATCCTTAGTTACTATGAGTCACTCCAGGCCACCAATCAACATCCTTAGTTACTATGAGTCACTCCAGGCCACCAATCAACATCCTTAGTTACTATGAGTCACTCCAGGCCACCAATCAATTATCTCTCTACCAATTAACTATACTTACTATATCTCCCTGACAGTCATACCAAGGACAGATATACGAACACATAGCCTTAGTTATAGTGACTAACCTACTTCACAGATATACAGTATATAATCAACCAGCAAACATACAAACCAACTCTTTTATAGCCGCACTAACAACCATCAGCAGCAAACAACGTAATTACACGACCTAACCAGCTGTAGCAACGACCTTATCAGACTAACGACCGCAGTAACAAGGTAATAACAGGGTAAATAGGACACTTCTTGGCCGCCAGAGGTTGTGTTCTTTCCTTCAGATGACTTGATTTTCTCCCAGTGTGATCAAGGACCAATATTAAGGTTATTATTAATTCCATCAGTAATACATGTACTGGTATTTTCCGTATAACATTATTATATCACCATCTGTTTGTTTGGTATTTATTTCTTCTGGTATTATTATCATTTACTTATTGTTGGTAAATAAAACTTAAAATGGTGTAAACTTTATTGAGGAGACGTTTCACCGCCCCAGCCTCTCTCAGCAACCAGGAGTTTCTGCCACACACACACACACACACACACACACACATATTATAATAACTGACAAGAGGAGAGGGAGAGAGAGACAGCGTCCAGATTCACCAAAGGACAGCGGCGTCTTGGGTGAGTTTCCCCGGGGGCTGTGACATGGCCAGGAGGCGTGTGGGGCCCCTGGGAGGCTGGCCCAATGATTGTGTTGTATCAGCCTCAAGGCAATCTTACGCAATACCTTCTTGTTAAGACGTGGATCCTCCCCTCAGACCCACAAGCTCTCACGTGATTGGATGAGAACGCAAACACCTTGACGGTGATTGGGTGAACCCCTTGTGCCGTTGCCAGTTTTCAGTATTACAAAGAGTTAAATAAGAATACAGAGTTACACTTACAAAATCTCTTGTAACCTAACCTAACCTAACCTAACCTAACCCAGGATACAAAATGGACTCCAAAAATGTCGTATTCTGTCACAGTAAAGCTCCAAAAGGTTGGGACTTTTAGCGAGTAACACAATATTTTACAGTAACACTCTGCCAGCTTTAAGTTATCGGTGTTACAAAAATATAGAAAACAATCCTATTATCAGCATTACAGACAGAGACAACAGCTATCAGCAACACAAAACTATAAATAATGTTAACAATATTATAAAAACACACACAGGAACAAACTGTCACCCTTAAATATAGAATGTGGCGGAAAAAACAACGTTAGGTGGGGGCGTGGGTGGGGAGAGGCGTGGGTGGGGGAGGGGCGTGGGTGGGGGGGCGTGGGTGGAGGAGGGCGTGGGTGGGGAGGGGGCGTGGTAGGGGGAAGGGCGTGGGGGAGGGATGTGGATAGGAGGCGTGGAGCGACAACAAGAGCGCGCGGGACAAATGTAGTTACCGGCAATAACTGGTCAGTGATGAGATCAGCAGCGGGCCCTCAGTCACATCCCACGCCAGCCACACACCCCCAACCTCTGAGCTAAGTTATTTCACGTATATACAGATCACCATCCAT